CTGTACGCACCCTAAGAATTACGTACTACATGAAACATTTTTTTTTGTGTACCAAGCGGCAGGACGAACAAATCATGCGACTGTTGCTAAACGACACGCCTGCCATAACAGTTGCAGTGCCACTCAGTGCTTTAAATCACTAAGACCTACGGGGCGCTACCACTGCACCCCTAACCCTGAGACATAAGTTGACAAGTCCCATGTGCCTGTAAATTCACCAGCACCCTTATCATTCAAAACGGAAGAAATTATGTACGTATATGCGAAATGTTATAAGTCTTATTCGCGGTTAAAAGTTACCAACTAATTTCGTTCGTAGAGTCTTTAAGCCTCACACGGGAAAGGTGGAAATTTGCAGATGTGACATTATTAAACCAAGGGTGCGAAAAGTTTCATTTTCAATGTGTAACAATCGCGAAAACAAAGAACTCGACGCTAAATGTTTAATTTTACACGTAATAAATACCAGGACCTCGGCTCCGAGTACCTATTTCAACCCGGTGGAGTCGAAACTCTTGGCCCGTGGAGTCCCGGTGCCCTACATCTGTACAAAATTATATCCAAAAAATGTATAGACTATCTAGGAAACCCAAGGGTCTGCAGCTATATCGCGCAATGTATTAGCATAGCAATACAAAGGGGTAACATTGCCAGTATCTTGGGCACCTTGCCGCAGTGACCCAATTTTATCCGTATTTATTTATTTATTATATGGATAGCAAAACTGATAACAATTGTATTGCATTGATAACATTAAGTATAACATAAGTTCAGTACTAGATTGTAACCCTACTTATGTTGCCACATCATTATATAGTAACAAGAAAGATCTACAGTTCACAATTTTCTAATGATTTCCTTACTTAATTAATATACCCACTAATTTACGATACAAAAACGAAATGGGTTTGGGTGAATACCTATTAAGTGCTAAGCTAGTTTCTACTCCTTTAAATATTCTGGATCTTGAGTGAAAAATATCCAAACCGGAGTTTTTCGTAGATGTCTTGTTGTAAAGCCAACACATTCTTATCAGGGGATTATACAAGTAAGTGTTATTCTTATACGTATGCAGGTGAAATGTCTTGCTAGGTATTCGGATTACGCGTTATATTTAATAACATTTTAGTACAAAGAATTTAATTCAATCGAGTTCTTAGGTTTTCGCGATTGTTACATATAGGAAATGAAACTATTTTTCCGGATTTGAATCGCGTATATTTGTTTTGTCAAACAAACCGAACGACGGTTCGGGCCCTTTACTGGTCCCGTGGTTACGGTTGACTGAGGTGGTACATAACTGATTGAAGACTGTACCACCTCAGTCAACCGTGACCATGGGACCTGTAAAAAACGAAACAACGGTGTGTTTGAAAAAATAAATATACGCGATTTAAATCCGGAAAAATAGTTTCATTTCCTAAATTTAAACATAGTTTCAGTTTCTAGTACGCAAGCTTATTGTACCAATGTATTTTAACTTATTGTCTTGAACGAAACTAGAATATTATAAGAATACAATGTTAATATACTATTTTACACGTTTGTCACATCTCCTAATATCAAAAGTTAATTTATTGTATGTCACACTTCGAGAGAATGATATATGTTCAACAGCGACCCCTGATCGGATCGTATGTCGTCCGATTGTTGAACTAATATCGGAGAGCACTTCGGGCACCGGCTGCCTGTGTAGGTATCGAATTACAAGCATGCGTATGCGCGGTAGACGTGTGCACTGTTTACACTCTGTGTACTATAATGAATGAAATTGTATGTCTATCTTTTTTGAAGATGGAACAAAATGACAATTCATTACGCGAAATTGTTGCCCGCTTACGAACAGAGCTAGTGATTGCACTCGATGACATATTCTATCGATTATCAACTGAATGTTGGTAACGATTTGGCAATAAATAGCCCAATTTGTTTCTTTTGAATCATCATTGGCCCTTATTAGTCCAACTACTGGGCTCTGGTCCATTTTAACTGTCAATTTCTGTAAGTTAATACATACACACATAGTGCAATTAAAACTATTTCTATTAAAGATACAAAGAAGACGCATATTTCTTATTAAAATGTATATAAATAAAAATTGTTTTCAATAGCAGTTGTCCAACTTTTACAAAAATGAAAATAAATAAACAAAGTTTAGAGTATAAGAATTAACATTTCGAACCCTTGTTAAAATAAAGCCACATTTGTCATGCATCAAAAGCTTAGAGAATGGAAAAAAATAAAGGAAATCAAAAATGTTTTTATCCTTAGAATAATAACGCATAGAAACCTAGTCCGCACACGCTAAGTGAGGCAAATTGAAGCGCTCCCAAAGGGCCTACACGAGCGGGCGGACCGTCAGTGCTCAAGGTCAACTTGCACCGCGACCAGATCAAGAATTTTAGCTAAAAATGACGAAATGTGCGGTAAATGAGATACTAACATCACATTCCACAAGGAAGTAACGCGTTTCAACTTGTATTTTTATATAAATATTCACTAGAACCGAAAATGAACCTACTACTAAAACTAGCCTACATGAATTTGATTTTTGCCTCACTTGTGACAGTTCGTTTGATATGAAACTATCATTCTATGCGTTATTATTCTAAGCTTTTACCACTATATGAATGTCATAAAAATAATACGGACTACATTAAAAAGACTTTACTAAAACATGAAAGATCAATATCAGACGAAAGATACGCAACCATGGCTTGGTTAACATGTCACATGTCAATCCAAAATATTACTTGTATCAAATGGCTGTCTGCTAAACTTTTTTCACTTGAAAATAACGATTTTGTAGCAATAATTACTGCGAATCCTCTTCAATCTCAAGCAAAAAACATTGTAATAATGTTTATAATCTAATAAAATAAATCAGCGAAGAACTAGGTGCTTCTAAGTCACAATTCATGATTTAGCAGCAGGTCTCTACTCTTGCCGATCCATATATATTTACTTGATCTTTGAAATTTTAACGAAGTCAAATCATTGTATGTGGCTTAGAATAATAACGCAGTATGTGGTATATAATTTTTGTTGGTACTGATGCTGGTCGGCAAGACTACAGTGTGCAGACAATGATTGGTAAAAAAAAAGATAAATTTCATAAATGCAAGTTACTTCAAACTGGAAACATAAATAAATCTATTGAATCTATCACCCACAATGTAATTGATATACTTTTGTATCTTTTTAAAATATGTCAGAAACTGACCTTTGTCACCATTGACTTACAATTATATGGACATCGGGTCCGCGCTAAAAAGTGTCCGAACTTATAGGGCGTTAAAATCGTATACAGAGCGTCATTCACGCTTTAGTCTTCGTTTATTCGACTGACCGGGAAGCAAGCAAAATTAGACAGTACTGCGATGACATTACAATTTAAATTCAACGTTTTAGCTTTTTCATATTCCTTTACATGTCACTACGTTTAAATAGGTTGACTTGGGACATTTTTTCGTGGTTTTTGTATTAGACCCGTCGTCCATTTATTTGTAAGTCAATGACGAGGATAGATAAATTCTGACCAAATAAAATATATATGAAGTATCTACAACCACAAATTTCTATTTGTCTAAGTACCATTAGATTCGGGTACACCTATACTGACCCCCTTTCTAACAAAAAATAATCATCGAAATCGATTGACAAGTGTAACCTGAGTAATAGCGTAAAAATATATCGACGACAAGCATTATATTATTATGGCCCAGAACTTAGCCACACTGACCGCATCACTAGTAGCCTCCATTAAATCCAAGCGTGCAGGTGTTAAGATACGCAGGGCACGATGTGAGGAGGGCCATCGTTTGAGGTTAGAACAATCCGAAAATCCCCACCTGAACAAATCGTCCTTGCTCCGACCAACCTGATTCTGAAGCCTATTTAAGACTTCCAGATCGGTCATGGCAATTCGTGTCCAGACAACCCCGTAACAAGAATGTGTCGCACATACCTTAATAAGGACAATAAACAATTAGATATGTTTAATTCTAAGTGTCACGTATTTAAAAAGTCTGTCTCAGATGTCCTCAAGTAGTGGTAAAACAGTTAGGTAAACTGTAAAAATTAAAATAATAATAATTTAATTTTGACACTTTTTTCTTTCTTTTTTTGTATTTTCTTTTATATATGTGTACCAACATACATTTTGCAATTTATAATTAATTGACAGTAACTTTCCTAAATATGCCGTACGTCCACGCTCCTGGTTGGCTTTTGGGTCAAATCTAGTTTAAACAAATTAATATGTTAATCCATTTGGATGTCGACTGTTGTGTTCGTCTAATAACATAAATAAAAAGAAGGCGGGACAAACATAGGTGGCACTCTTTCGCGCCAAAGGGCCAGAGGATCGACACATTCGACAAAACTTTTCAGAAGTCTAAAAAGTATAATCTCAGTACAGAGTACTAAAAAAACCGACCTCAAAAGTAGGTGGAATTACGTCTCTTTGCTAAGTTTTATTGAAATATCCCCTAGTTCGCCACTATACAGGACTTGACACTGGAGATAATAAAAATCGGTTCTCACTACTCAAAGTATATCGAGAGAAAAACGCCTTGAATTGGAGAAATAGCAAAATCAACCATTAAAGTAATTACTCCTAAATTAAAGTTAGGCGCTATTTATGAAAATGAATCTTCATGCGTGAACAGCCACCCTTCGAAGACCTTTCAAAATGAAATGGGACCACTATGGCACTATGGAAGTACCCCCTTTCCAACAAAAAAAGAATCATGAAAATCACAAATACCGGAGTTATCGCGTAACATACATACAAAAAACATAACATACAGTCGAATTGAGAACCTAATTACGTAGGCTGCGGCCGGAGTTGAGCAAAGTTGGCGATCTTCATAGCGGAGGGATGTGTAACAACCTCCTCCTTTTTGAAGTCGGTTAAAAGTCAATTTTACAACCTTTGTATCACAAGGAAACGAATGAATTTGTACACGACACAGTTTAGAAAACAGTTAGCGACTCACTGGCAAACCTGGGGTCGTTGGAGGCAGGGTACCACGAGGCCCCGCGCATGTCGCCGTAGTGCGGCAGGTCCGTGGGCGCGCAGCCGTAACCCTGCACGGGCGCGCCGCCGTACAGCGCCGGCACGGCGTACGGGTTCGCCGCCATGCCGCACGACGTCGCGGGACCCAGTGGGGAGTTAATGCTGCTGCCTGATGAGTTCGATCTACAACAAAACGCATTACTTAGATTTTGACACATAAGGGAGATGCCACATGGGCGTTGCGTTGACGCAACTTCGCATGAAGCAACAAAGCGGGAAGGATGTTGCAGTGCGACGGCGCTCTTGTTTCACCTATCGGCACTTAATTGAAGGTGGGTTCGAATCTCTGTGCCAATTTAATTTGAAATTTTTATGTTACCAAATCACAGGATGAACAAGACGTAAGCCTGGTGCTAAGCGACACGCCTGTCCAAATTTAACTAATACAGTGAATAACAACATCTCTTGCCAGGACTGGGAGCTGTAAAGGTACTAACTGGGTGATAAATCTTTCATAGATTTCTCATAGATGGCGCTACGACTAAAAAGTCGTTGAAATACCAAATACAAAACACGACGCAAGTCCATAGAAAAATTCGTGAGGTTCGTTCCGTGGCTTAGTTGGTATAGCGTCTGCCACGGTATGCAAGAAGACGTCGGTTCGAATCCGACCGGATCGAAGGAATTTTTTCTGAGTGTTCGATCTTTGTATTAATAATTATAAAAAACTAGTGGAGTAATTTCACAAAAAAGAATTGAATATTAATTCAATAAAAATTTAACTAATAGAATGACCGTTATTATAAATCTGTTACCTCCATTAACTTATTTGTAAGTCAATGGTTAGCTCCTTCAAATCATCATTTAAGATTATTTTATTTTACTCATGTGTCTAACAACACTGGCAGTCGTGCTGTACCTTCCTGCCATTTTACTACTGACATTAATATCCCTAACACAAATACATGAGAACACAATACACGCACAATCAGTTCTGGTTTTATTACATCCCACCTACTCTACACGTACCGACAGCCATGTTTACATGCATGCAGCATTTTTCTTTTTTGATTTTGATTTGTATTAAATTTTTATTTATGCCCAGTTAAGTCTAATGCATTTTTTAAAATTTTATTTACTTGGACGAACCTACTATCTTGTTATTTATTCGACTTCACTAAAACACCAGCGTAACGAGGTTCTTTCACACGTCTTGCTATAGAAAAATTATTGGAGACTTTTTTGATAACTTTTAAACGTAATTCTTTTATTTTGTGTTTTATCCTAAGGCTATTTACTTTTTGTTATTATTCTGCCATATTTTGTCATAAGGTTACCGAATATACTACTTTTCTTTCTTGTTTTCTTCCTATTAGAAGTAGTAGAGCTGCTTGTGACAGAGTTCGTCCGTGGAAATACTGCCACTTTACCTATTGCAGCTATAGTGAATTTAAATTAATAAGCGAGATATAAAGTAATCGTAAAGCGACTGAATAGTAAACCACATTACCTTTCTATGGTAAACTGAATAGATTAAATCCCGCTTACGAAGCACCGCGTGTTTGCCGACGGATCATTTTCCGCCCTCGCCCCACCGTTTACCAAGCATTTGAAATTCAAATTGCAAATATAATCTTTAAAATTTTTATACCTTTTTATGGCTGCGTTTAGTTACATTTAAATATCTGTCTAAAAGGGGCACCCACTTTGCGAATCAGGTACATGTGCGTGCCATATTTATCCACAGACAAATGCGAATACTTTATAAGTATCTTTCATTACGTATCATACCTAACCTGATCATAGGACCCGCTTTCAGCCTCGTGTCCCGCTGTCCCCAAAATACTTAACAATGTCCCGGTTTGACTGAACAGGACGCACGCGACATTATATATAAACAATAGCGCGAAATCAAAAAATATATAAAGCCAGCTCACCGGAGTACACGAAATTAATTATTTTTTGTAATTTTTGATCATTAAACTCTAATAATTCTTATTTATTCATTAAACAATTCGTAACTATGATAAATATGTGTTTTATTTATAAAACAACAATAAATTTACAGGCGTCCCGCTCTGACGTGAAAAAACGTTAAAAAACGTCACGTTAATAGTCATCTGAATGTTTTGGAAAGAAAATTACGTTTGAGAGATGACGGAAGATTTTTTATGATACCACGTGACGGGACGAACAAATTGTGCGCCTGATGGTATGTGACACGTCTGTCCATGCCACTTAAGAACTTTAGATCGCAAAGCTCTGAGGGGTACTGCCACTGCACCCGTCACCCTGAGACATAAGTTGACAAGTCCCATGTGCCCGCAACGTCACTTGCACCCTTACCCTTCAAAACCGGAACGCAGTAATGCTTACATTGCTGCTTGGCGACAGAAACAGGTAAGGTGGCAGTACTTCCCTGGACGAGCTCTTTCACAAAGAGTTTTACTGCTGCTATGAAAAGACTGGACAACTTTGTTAAACATGTATTAATTCGTTATAATATAGTACTTATATGATATAAATAAATAAATACTAGGCTTCAATAATTTACCTATAGAGAGTACGAGACGCTTTTTCTCGTGCATGGTTGTAAATTTCATGCCTTATATGGAGAATCTTCAACTTTTAAGATGTTTTTACCTAGTTTAGGGGCTGGAAATTCATAGTAAATGCTAAACTGTTGTTGAAAAGTTCAAAATAGGTTAGTTTGCATTAATATTAGACATAACTGGTTGATGACTTAATACCATCTCAGTCAGCCGTGACCATGGAACCTGTAAAGGGTCGGAAACGTTGGTTTGTTTCAAAAAACAATATTACAATTATTATAACAAAGAAATACTAAGAAAAATTCATTTGATCATGTCTCAGGCTTCCGATCCAAACTTGGATGGGTGTCCATCCGTCGTAGAAGGGACACCTCCCCTCCCTACCTCAAAGATGTTTCGTGTTTCATAGTACTCTCAGTCGCACCTTACGGTCTTCTCTTGCTCTTTCTTTAAACTGCCATATCCATTCTTTTAGCTTCTATTCCAACTCCTTTAAGGTTAGAAGCATCAAGCTGTGGAATTCTCTGCCTGAATCGATCAGATGCGCTAAGTCTGTTGAGTCTTTCAAAACTCTACTCAAAGCTCATTATTTTACACTCCAATTATAATCTACTATTTTCTCCTATTCTTACCTGTTTTAGATCGTCCGTTTTGTTATTATTATCTTCTATATAATCCTACCTCATTTTGCGTAAACATATGTATTTTTTATTATTTATTTATTAACCGACTTCAAAAAAAAGGAGGACGTTTTCAATTCGACTACATGTTTTTTTTTGTATGCATGCTACGCGATAACTCCGGTATTTGTGAACCAATTTTCATGATTCTGTTTTTGTTGGAAAGAGGGTACCTCCATAGTGATCCCATTTAATTGTGAAGAAAATCATCCACCTCTAAGGGTGGCTGCTCACGCATGAAGATTCATTTTTATAAATAGCGCCTAAATTTTTTCTCTCTCAATATACTTTGGGTAGTGAGAACCGATTTTTATTATCTCCTGTGCCAAGTCCCGTATAGTGGCGAACTAGGGGACGAATCCGGGTTTGCGCACTTTCCAGTAACCGATTTCAACAAAACTTGGTAATTATATGTAATTCCACGTACTTTTGAGGTCGGTTTTTTTTAGTACTCTGTACTGATTTTATTTATTTAAGTATTTTATTATTATTTTTCTTTTTTTTTTTCACTTGTGTATGTGCAATATGTGTTTTAAATACGAATTCTATTGCGCCCTCAATTAATTATTATCTCACAGCTTTTCCTATAACCCAAAGATTGCCTGGAAGAGATTGCTATATAGCAGTAAGGCCGCCTGTCGTACCTGTCTTTTTATTTTTTGTTATATTTTGTATGTGTCCTAGTGTGCAGTAAAGAATATTTGTATTGTATTGTATTTATTCGACCCTCAGGCAATCCGTGCCAGATGCTCTGCCCATTAAGCCACGTAACGAACCAGTAGATCTTACGAATGTTTCTATGTGCTTGTTGCAGATCTTTTAACGACTTTTTGACGTAGCGCCATCTGTGAGAAATTTATTTCTTCACCCAGAGTACCTTGTATCAACTACTATTTCTGACGAGAGATGTCGCTTTAGTAATTATAATTTGGTAGTAAATAAGAATCAAAAGTAATAAGTACCAGGATCTCGGTTCCGACTACCTAGTTACAACTTTAGAGTCGAAACCCTTGGCCCGTAGGATCCCAGTGCCCGTCACCTGCACAGAATTTCATCTAAAAAACTAGTAGACTGTCTGGGAAACCCAAGGGCCGGCAGCTACCTTGCCCAACGCATTAGCATAGCCATACAAAGGGTGAGCACCTCGCCACGAGGACCCAGTTTTATTCATATATATCGAGTTCTTAGGTTTTCGCGATTGTTACACATAGGAAATGAAACTATTTTTGACTGAGGTGGTACAGTCAAAAATAGTTTCAACTTTTCTTTAACATAACTGGTTGAAGACTGTACCACCTCAGTCAACCGTGACCATGGGACCTGTAAAGGGCCCGAAACGTCGGTTTGTTTGAAAAAACAAATATACGATATTTAAACCCGAATAAATAGTTTCATTTATTCCCACAATTTTAAAATTCTCGTTTTACTTTCTAATACTTAAGCTTTTATTGTATCTTACCTGTATATTATCACAATAAAAAGTAGGTAATAAGTTTAACTTGCTAGTAAAACATAACCAAAATTAGTTTAGTATTAGTATTATCAGTTTTAACGATTACTTTTAAAATATTATATTTACATTTCCATGAGTCGCGTTTACCCCAATGAGGGATGGTAAGGGATGGCGTAAGATTAAATTGTGTAAGCCGGGATTATCTGATAATATTCATTGTGTGAGGTGACGGGTTGACGCCACCCGACGGCTGTCGGAAGCAGGACTTATGTAAACTGTTTAGTTAACATTATTTATACAAAGATGGAACACCTAGAAAGAATTTCTTCGACCCGTTGGGACTTGAACCCATGACCACGTTGCACCGTAGCGCTGCTCCAACCAACTGAGCTACAGGTCTAGTTATTGAGTTGATGAAATTCTCTTATCTTTTTTTTGTTATAGATCTGTGTTATGGCTTTACGGCTTCTAGCTTTTTTCTATTATATATTTTTTTATTATATTCAATAAAATACTTAATAATTTCAAAGTATTGCCGATTATAACGAAACTAGAGAAGTGGTTTTTGTAAAAAAAAACACACCAAAAGTGTCTAGAGAACAAACACGTTTTTATCAATGATTTTTCTCTTGCCCAAGTGAAATTGACCAAAAAATGTATCAAAAACCTGATTTGTCAGTAATTACGAAAACGTACTTGATTCGTAGACATTTTGATGTGTGTATTTATAACACTGTAGTAAATATTTAGACTATCTACATGGTCGAGTGGCTGATCACACCGCTTTTCATGGTCGTCATCTCCGAGATCCCGTGTTTGGTCCCCAGCGGGATCAATGTAGAAAACTATATTATCTCGGATGTGGGTGTTTGTGGTACCGTTGTAGTTTCCGATTTCCATAACATAATTGCTTTAGCTACTTTGGAATCAGAGCAACGTATGTCATGTTGTCTAATATTTATAACCTCAAGTGAATTTGGTTAATTCCGCATAATATTACAGTGACAGTGACAGAAGGAACACATCCGAGCAGTAAAAAACAATGATGCACAGAAGTCGGCTATAGCACAACATCTCACACAGACTGACACTAACCACTGGATCGAGTTGCATAGCCCCCAGGTACTCTCGACAGAACGTCACTACATACCACGGTTGGTACGAGAAGCCATCGAGATCACGAAGTACAAAACATTTAACCGTGATGATGGTTTTAAACTGTCCAGTGCATGGAATCCGGTCCTT